CGAAAATAGGTAGATAATAGAAGCAAATTTAAATATACATGTATACTATTAATTATGGGTAATTTTTCGCGAAAGTAATCGTAAAAAATATTACGAAATATATGTCGCCACGAAAGCCAGAATTATGCGCGCGAAAGAACCGCGAAAGCTTATAAGGATTAGAACCAAATCGCTATTCGATTTTCGACGCCGCTCAGGATTTATTTATTTGTACTAATTCTTGATATTATTTTTATTAAATTAAGAATTATTAAAATAATTATTGGATTATATTAATTGGACCTAATTTTGGTGTTTTTTTTAATAAAGGAATATTGTATTTTTAATATATTGGAAATTTGAATTTATACCTGATTTTGATCGTATTTAAGTCTGAGTGGCGGTGGAAGGGCTAGGTATGTTATATGATTATTAAAAATTATGTAGGTGTTCGGGGTGTGTGGTTATTTAATTTTTTTTTAAGATAATGAATTAGAATGTTATTATGTTTTGTTTTATTTTTTAAATATAATAATTAATTTAAATATAATTATATATTATAATTATAAATATTTAATAAAGGATATTTAATTTATTTTATATTTATATTTGATTTCCAATATATTAATTATTTTTTGAAAATTTCGGAAACCTGGAAAATAATAAAGTTCCAATTTAAAATATTTTTTTTAATTAAAATTTATAAAATAATTAATAATAATTAATTTAACATTATTATATAAAGGGATCCCGTAGTAATTTACCAAATAAAATTTATATAAATAATTTCGAAAATCTTAAATATATTAAAAAAATATCCATAAATTTGGAAAAATTCCATTATTTATCCCATATATCTTAATGTAATAATAATATATGATAAATTTGAAATTATTATATTTAGGAAATTTTTCGATATATATATATAATTTATAATTATTAATATTAAAATTAAATATTATTAATATAAATATTTAAAAAATATAATAATATAATTTTTTTAAAAAAAAATATTAATTTAGGAAAATTTTATTATTTACCGTATATATATATTTAATATTTATGAATTTATATAAATTAATATTTAATAATAATTTATAAAAAATAATTATATAT